TGCATCAAAATGTTAAGAATTCTTGAAGTAAAATAACGATTATGATTGCAATTTCACAAAGGAACTTAGTTTAAGATTTCCATAAATATGAATTAAATGCTATATCGTGTAAACGGTGTTCAGTTACGGTAATACCAACATCGACAAAGATAATATTTTATAATATCATAATATGCGTATAATATAATTGTCCTGTAAATGACTTTAGTAATCTTAGTTCAATAAGTATTATGAAATTCGCTCTGTTTTACTTTACGGTTGCGAAACATGGCCATTAAGAGTAGAAGATACTCGTAAGCTACTAGTATTTGACCACAAATGCCTTAGAAATATTGCTGGCGTCTGCTGGGATCACCGGGTAAGTAATAGTGAGGTAAGACTCAGGGTATTAGGAAATGATGGTAAATCAGTTGATGAGGTTGTAAATCTTGATCGACTGAGATGGTTAGGCCACGTGTTGCGTATGTGCTTGAACACCGATTACCACGACGCACAATGCTGATTTGTATTGTAGACGGTTAGAAGAAAGTTAGGGGGGGCGGCCAAACGAAAACGTGGCACCAGTGCCTGAAGTGACTAACTTGTGGTTTGATCCGTGTTGGTAGAAACAGACGACTTGGTTGGGGTCCGCGTGACTATCGTAACCAGTGGTTAGAGACTATGTGTGATATGGCTCAGAATGGATCACAATGGCGTAGGTGTATACACTTTTTCTCCTCTTAAACTATGAGATTAAAGTTATTTCATATGTTTCTTTCTACGAAGTAATTCTTTCTTTCTGTACTATATCCTTACGTAAAATCTTTCCTTTATATAATACACCATTGAGTTAACTGCTTCTATGAATCGGGTGTTCATCTTGCTGTGCTAATGATAATGAGGTGTGGCACCTTGAACCGATGCATATGTGTCCCTGATCCTACGTTGTAGCTGGCTGACTGACTGAAGTATTATGAATACTTTAGTTTAAATTGAGTAACTAATAAAAGTGACTAACAACTAATCTGCCTCCTGGAATTTATGAAACAGGCAGTGTTTCATGCAATCAGCGTTGATTAACGGGTTCTAAAAACAGCTAGAACGATGGTCGATCAGGCGTTGCGTTTTTGGTTGGATCGTCACGCTGTCGTTACTATATTTATTGGTTTTCCAAAAAGTCTTAAAAGAACAAGGTCATGTGAAACTGTCAACCCATTCGATCTTCTATACATGAACTAACCTTGGAATAGAGTTCTTCATATTTCGCGCTTTTTCTGTACTGTTCGAGTTGATGTTTATGTCGGAGGAGTTCTAAAAATATCCCTCATCAAGTCTCCAGGGGCTTAGAAGCTCCAGGAAACTTGATTCTTCGCAGAAACATTTTGAAAATACAGAATCACGTGCCACGGTTTTGCTAGGGTATTTACCTATACTTCTACTATATGTACTATGGTTCCAAAAGTCCAAGGTCATGTTACGTATTTAAGGTCGGGTGTGTTGCTATAAATACACACTTTTTTCTCTATATAGATTAAACTTATAGTAAAGCTTTTATTCGCACTTTGCACATTCTCTCTAGTGTTCCAGTTGGCGTGTAAAAGTATTTGGAGATATTGGGACTGGTAGGAAGACAGTTTAAGCATGTAGATAGCAAGATGTATTAGTTTAGAAGTAGCTTGGTGTTTGTAATAGGTTTGTAATAGCAGACTTATCAATAGGCTAATGCGAAACCTTGATAAAGTAATAATCGGAACTCTATCTAATTGTCTTTTCATGTTATATTGACACTTTATTCTTATTTTTTATTTATAGGTGTTTCATTTGGTCCACTTAGAATGTCCTTATCCTCCAGCACAAACAACAGAGGATATTGTTCAGGCAAATTTTGTAAAAATATCAAATCCACCACCCATGAATACAACAATAGATCGTGGTAATAATCAAGAAATTGTAACACATTCAACTCCTACAACAGTAGTAGTAGTAGTAACTCAACCTAATAGTACAAATGATAGTAGTAACCATATGAATGAATCTCATTCAATCATAAATTCAAATGATTCATCAATTATTAATACTATAACATCATCAGAGCATTTATTACTTAATTCTTCTGGTAATATTAGACCTATATCAAATATTCCTAATACTTCTAATGATCAATTAAATGATGAAGTTATAACATTAAATAATAATAATGATAGATCATTACATTCAACCAATATGACCATTATTCATACAGATTATGATCTATTACCCGATCTATCACATCATTCATTTCATCCTACATGAATAAGATGTTCGTCGTTTACATTCATTGATAGTTATTCATTTCTATTTAAAACTATTATACACCCCTAATCATACCATGACATGAGAATATGTATGTAGATTATATTGTTATATATCACTTCTTATTTGGTTAGTTTTTCTATAAACACTCAATTCATCTTAACATAAATCTATATTTTACTGTGATCTTGTTCTGGTTTTTTTATTTCGTACTCAAAATAACATTTGAGTATTTTTCTCATTTCAATAAGAAAAGATTTAACCTTTATTTATTTTACATTAGATATATGACTGTTATCATTTATATTATTCATTATGTAACCCTTCATATACATGTCATATTCCCATTGTTGATTGGATTTTTGTTTTGTTCTCATATTAAAACACTTCTGCTAAAAAAAGATAAATTAGGATGAAACTGTTATCCTGTGCTTCCAGGTTTTCCATGGTGGTCTAACTTCAATGGACTTATGATCTGAACTATTGAAATCACTATAATATCCGCACAAAAATCCCCTTGTGATATTAATCAACATATATTCTCAGTAGTGACTGGTCTCAGGAGGTATATCCTAGAGTTCTAATGAGAAGTAGTGAGCAGTGGAGTTCGACCTGGTTTGTTTTGAGATAGTAACTCACTGATGACAATTGTGGATGTGTTGCTCAATTTCGTGGATTAGTTGAAGTTAGACATTAACACCGTTGAATGCCGGCCGGCTCAGTGGTCTAGAGGTTAAGCGTTCGCGCGCGGTACCGGTAGGTCCTGGGTTCGAATCCCGAGGGAGGCGGTATCGTGAATGCGTACTGTTGAGGAGTCCCACGATAGGACGAAATGACCATCCAGGTTTTCCATGGTGGTCTAGCTTCAATTGACTCATGGTCTCAACTATTAAACTTGATTTTTATTGGTTATTTAGATCTTCCCATTGATGTTGAAGACTGCAATATTGATTAATCTCTTTTTCACATCTAATTGACGAGCCCCAAATAGGATGAAATGAGCGTTCTAGATTGTACTATTAGCTATCATCCGTCTCTGCTTACAATAATAATATTGTCTGATAATTAGTATGGAGAAAAAACACCATTTTACACGTATATTCATGTTGATACAAAACACTAGGTAATAATAACCAATATAAGTGTACATTATTTGAAAGAATGTAATTTGATGAATTTAGACAAAATTTTGATAGAAATGTGAAATGAGGAAAGTTGTAGAGGTATATATAAGTTCGAGTGAAATCACTATATAGTACAACTGTAGTGGGACTTTTCACTCTATAACAAAAATAGATTGAAGTCAAGTATTGACACTGTCGAATACCAAGTCAGTGGTCTAGAATTTAAGCATTCATTTGATCCCAGCGTGGGCACTGCTGCGTAGCTCCACACGCGGATGAAATGGCCGTACAGTGTCTCCCGGTTTTCACTATTTGTCTAACTGTCATTTCGCGATATAAACTGGAAATTTTATGATGACAAAACCATTTTTTGACAAAAGTAGATTAAGCAATCATAAAGTTGGCAAAAGTATACAAAAAACTTATGGCATTTACAAAATAATAAATCATTAAATTTGTTTTGGTACGGAAAACACTACGTATATACCATGGAACAGTCTAGGTGCTATAACCTTCAGTTTGTTTATTCGAGTCATAATGTTTGATATAATGAATATTAATTATAGTTCTCGGAGAGTAACGGTATCAAGTGATAACACCTTCACCTACTTCTCTTCTTATTTATATACTAATGTGAGGGGAACAAAGTCAGACGTCCAGTTCTGAAACTAAGGTGGCAGATACGGAAGGTACGCCTGGGAGAGTTGCAGTCTCCTCGCGTCATACAAATAATGTGCACAACTCGCATGCTGAACGGTAGAATGGTGCGCGAAGCTATCCTAAACAACACCTAGCATGGTACTCTGTCTTCTGATTTCGCTCCTCTGCCTGATGGATTCGACATCTAGGTCAAATGATCGAGAATCGGTTTACTAGGAAAACCGTCAACTTTTGCATAGGAGTTTGGGCAGTATCCCAGCTCACACAAGAATTTCATAATAAGTAAAATATTCTGTTTGGTTCGCGTTACCATCCATTTAGACGAGTTCTGAAGTCACTATCACAAATGGATTCAATTTACATTGCTTCATTTTCCTATGCCCTTTTCTTATCATTTTCTTAAATTCACTCAACAGCTCATCTCAGTTGAAAGTGATGCGTCGTCTAGACGGTACAAAGTTGCTGAATGCTCAACTTTATAACTGTTGCCAAATACGAAATCTGATACAACTTCTCTGAAGCTACGTATGCTACTTAAACTCCTTCGATGTTCTCATTGTAATCCAGGTCGGATAATACAGTTTCTGCAATATACACAGAAACTATATATTGGAGTACGATGTCTAGTTGATACAAATATAGAAGACTAATCAAGTACTATGGATTTGTTCTCCAGTTGTCTATTCAGAAAATTTTATTTCATGTACGCTTTTCCCGGTACGTTTTAGTATTGGCGTCCGGTTTCTCTAATGTTAGTGTCGCATAGAAGTGCGGTAGTATCGTTAGTCGATACTATCCCAGTTATATGTGTGCAATATAATCTTCTAAGACTTAATTATTGGTCAAATCTATAAGACGGTGTTGCACTGTCACTCAGATTGTACATTCCAAAATCAAAGTACTTAGCAAATAGCTTGATTTGCTTACAGAAAACACTATTCAAATCAAATATTTATTTAAAATCAATTACAGTTGTGTTTCTTTCATGTAGAAAGTAGTTTCAATTTGATCTTCATAGTCACTTCATTTATTTTACTATTAATGTTCTCAAATGAACCAGTCAACATTTTCGTCATTACTTGAACAGTCTTCGTTATATGAATCATCCTGGTCATCGAATGGTATTATTTCAGGAAACCGATAGATTTTAGAATTCTAAAAATAAACCATAAACAAATAGAAATCATCCATATAATGTATCATTTAGAACTATGTTGTAATGAATTGATCAAGTTATTGCTATGTCGTATGGTAGACTACCTTCTGCAGGTTATTATACATTAATTTATAGTATACATTTTTGTGTATCAGTATTGAATGAACGTTGAAAAGGCTTTTTGTCTTTTATCATTATTAAATGGGATTTGAGTTATTCCGTTGGTAATATTTTTGACTGCACTATTATCAGTCATTGTTGGAGTGTTTATGTATCTTGTGTAGATTATGGAATCGATGGATAAAGCGCCCGGCCTTCATTCTCATGCTATCAACAATTCATCTATTTTACGAAAAAAGTATGACAAAGTAGCTATATCGAAGCAACACGATTAGAATGTACATAAGTCAACGTGAACTGTGCATAGTTCAATCCTGATTATCAACAACATGAAAAATCACAGCATTGCTAATAACGACATAAATGTCATACTCATTGAATGAGTGCGTGTCTGTTTGGACTCATTAACTTAGTGGTTAACTTATTGGACTTTCTAAGATACAGATATCTGGTTCGTGTCCCGATGTGAACATTGACATTGAGATTCAAGTACATCCAGCTGATGAGTCCAAGACCTGGATTCGAATATCATAACTCACCTACTTTTACTTTGTTTTTGTTCTGTTGAAATTAATTGTTAGGGATGCTGAGGAATATACCAATCATTATCATGTTAAGTCTAATGATGTCCTTGGACTCTAAATGGGCATTCCCTATTGGCCATTATTTATTTCACTCGTTAAATATTGTACAGATGTTGTTTTCTATTTTTATGGTACGATGTGGTCTGTTTGGTTGGTATGTAAACAGAGTATGTTTGAAATACAACGATTCATAACTCAGAGGCTGTGACTTGCGTTCTAGACTCAACTGGCTGGGGTAGACAGGGAAGCGGGACCAATCGGGACTCTAGATCGTCCTTACGTGTCACTGATTCGATCGATAAATACGCTGCGCATCTAACCGTGCAATCAACCCGTTACAACATTAATACTTTAGAATTTCATTTTTATTATTTTCTGTCTTTTGTGTTATCTTATTGCACTGTAGTTGAGACGATCTACTGAATAGTATCAGGGTAATACTTCTTCATTTATCGGACTGAATTTTCCTGCAAACATGTTAGAATTCATAAAAGTCGTTCCTTATCTGGGGCTTTACAGTTATTTACAAGTCATGTACACAAAACTTTGTCATATTTTAAACTTATCTTTAAATATCAAAGATTGAATAGCTGCTTTATGGTAGTATAAACTTAAGAATACTTACACATCAATGTTAAATACATCATCTGTCAATCGTAATATAAATGTTGAAACTACAATTTTGTGATTGAAATACATAATTCATTATTTTGGTGAGACTATAAATGATGGACGATGATTAATACAGACTAATCAATCGCACTCCATGAATTAACCGATGCGGCAGGGGTTTTGTTTTGTACTTCCATAACCTGTCGTTTTGGTAAGATTATTCATTCTAGCCAGACACCAATTAAGTAAATTCATTCCAGTATAACTGAAATAGACTAACTATCCACTCAAATTACCTATATCGTTAATCTACAATGCTTGTTTCATATTTCATTCATTAGGCGTAGTTTATAATATCATTTTATATTTGATTATACATTACCTTTATACGAGTTCCACTTGAACTGTTACAATGCATTTCAATAGGTGCATTTTCATAAAATCTCTTCAGCTGATCTACATTCTTTTGTTTCCATGTAATATTATTTACTCTATTCACTAAACTATTATAATTCTGTTGATGTTCACTGTTAGACAAAAAAAAGATAAGAAAGGAGAATTATATTACTGATTACAAGTAACTATCTGATGATATCTTTAATAAATTTAGTTAACTACATTTAAAGTTTTTTTCTGGTTAGCGTTTTTTTAGCAAGTTAGTTTTCTACGGGATGGGGTCGCTAACCCCATGCCCAACCCTCCTCCTTTACCCGGGCTTGGGCTCGGCAGTAACTGTAGAAGAGATGCAGGCCAAAGAACACATTACGTCGGGAAATATAAGCAGATATGAAAAGGTTTAATAACAACTGGAAAGAGCTGCAAAGGATTGCCCAGGACAGGGTTGGATGGAGAATGCAATTGAGCGGCCTATGCTCCTTCACAAGGAGTAACAGGCGTAAGTATGTACATTTAAAATTCGGTGTTTCTTTATTTTTTTAAATTGTATAAACTGTAAATAGTTTTCTTACTGATTACTTGATGAATCTTCTTCACTTGAAATCTTATTCATGTAATTTTCGGTGAGTTTATAATTTATGGATGACCTTGAGCGACACTAAAACGACTTTGAGAGTGTCTACCTACATACTAGGGCTAAATGAGGGTTATAAAACAGTTTGAAGAATAAGGATTATGATTTACAATTGACGATTAGGGTTCAGAATTAGATTTAGGGTTTTCATCACTAACTGATATCAGCTATAATGCCAAGACTATATTTAGCCAAGTAGGTAAATGGATTTAAGGCCGAAATCTAAGACCTGTTATCGTAAATCTGATTGGTTCGTCCATAAATTATAGTCTCGCCTTATGTTCTAATAGAAAACTATTTCACAGGTTTACCAAACTAGTTACTTCTTTGGAACCCATAAATCGAAACTAATAAGTTGTATCATAATTTGAAGATATTTCATAAATCCAAAGTAATGAGTGTTATCAGTGAAATACTTTTTAAAGTTCATTTGAAACATTAAAAACTATTTAGGGTCTCTAACGGAATGGGAAGAGCAACTAAGAGTTTTCTTCTAGTCATTAACAATGTACAATCAACTTATAAATACATTCAATATTAAATCATCCGTCCAATCGATTAATAATTCACTTTTCAATACAAACAACAAGAAAATACTAATACTATGAGTAGTCGAACGGGTCGACAACTTCACTTATCTTGGTAGTCTAATCAGCCCAAATTGATTGGTGTGCGACGAAATCTCAGCATGGATTCGAAAATCTCACCTGACGTTTTCCAGCTTACGTCACCTATGGCGAAAGCGACATATCTCTCTATCAATTAAGGCACAACAATACTGCGCAGCAGCTCGTTCTGTTCTACTTTAGGGCTGCGAAACATGACCATTAAGAGTAGAAGATACTCGTAAGCTACTAGTATTTGACCACAAATGCCTTAGAAATATTGCTGGCATCTTCTGGGATCACCGGGTAAGTAATAGTGAGGTTAGACGCAGGGTATTAGGAAATGATGGTAAATCAGTTGATGAGGTTGTAAATCTTGATCGACTGAGATGGTTAGGCCATGTGTTACGTATGCTTGAACATCGATTACGACAACGCACAATGCTGATTTGTATTGTAGACGGTTAGAAGAAAGTTAGGGGGGGCGGCAAACGAAAATGTGGCACCAGTGCCTGAAGTGACTAACTTGTGATCTGATCCATGTTGGTAGAAACAGACTACTTGGCCTAGGTGTATACACTCTTTTTCTTCTCTTAAACTATGAGATTAAAATTATTTCATATGTTTCTTTCTACGAAGTAATTCTTTCTTTCTGTACTATATCCTTACGTAAAATTATGATCTGTATTCTTTATTATTCACATGTTTATCACTTTTGAGAACTTTAGTAGCTAAGTAATTGTGTAGCGAACAAGAACACCATTGGGGACAAACGAATGCACCTAAGCACAAAACTGCAGAGCATCTCAATAAAATCTGAGAACCATTCAGTAAATCATTAATTTGCAAAATATCAATCCATCACACCAAACTCGACTGTTCCTATTGCAAACATCAATCCTTTGTCTCAGATTTGATTGTTCATGCGTTTTCTTACCGATTGCGTTCCGTTCCCGTTCTTTCCTCATTGACCTTCTACTGAAATACATTCCATACCTGATCACCGTTATATACTACTTGTGTGGATATAAGTAACCACACCACAATAGTATTATTTACTTGGTTTTTTGATAAGATACAGATTATTCATCATTGCATTTTAATTTCACACAGAAAACTAATAGTCTCCATTTCAGGTCTAATTAATTAGTCACTATAGTATACTATTACATAAGTAAAAGAGGAAGAATGTTGTATTTGTAAAATCTCAGCGAAAGAATTTGAAGTAAATCCAACGTTTCACCTAAGCAATCTGGTTCAAGCTTTTTCAACGCCCAAATACTGTGAAACTATTCGATCAAATTTAGACGAAAGTTCTTATTACAAAAGTAGTTAAATATGTAGATTCTATTTATCACTGACTTCATTTTAGATACCATTTAGAAACTAAGAAGTACTGAACAATTACTATTGTAAATATTACAGAAGTCATTGAATTCATAATATTTATTACATAAACGAATAATCCAACTTGATTCTTACTTTTCATCCAATGAATTCAAGAATATATTTAATGATTCAATAGAGACTTCCGATTTACATAGTTCCAAATCAATTTTTGGATAATAAAATACATAATTGACACACATTTCATTGTTTATTCCTATTCCACCAAAAATCACTTGATTCTTTTGACTTGTATCATAAGTACAAGTTGTAATTAAAGTATCACCCTATTTAAGAAAAAAAATGTATGGTAATATTAAGTTAAGAGGTTATTGTTTATTATTACTTATTTGAACATATAGATATTGGTACAAGGAGGGCATCAGATACATATGCGCCACACAAATCTCATTTGATTTGTGTGAGAGCTATGATACTGCCCAGGTGCCCAAATCGAAGCAGGTGGTTTTCTTAGAGGGCCACAACCGGAGCCTTCAACCTGAAGGTCTGATTCACAAGGCAGTGGAGCAACGTCAGGAGATTTAGTCCCATGGTATTTGGTGAACAACGATTGGTTCATACACCATTTGTTCCCTCAATATCCTGAAGCCCATGTGGAGCATTGGTTTGGAATCAGGGTTTTCCAACTCCTCTAAGTGGACTCTCTGTGTTCACCGACCAGGTTCAAGCGTCGGACATTCGCTTTTCGCCCTTTCATTTTCGTAAATAACAGCAATGCCGCTAGAAGGCAGTGAGTATGACTTCTTTGTCAATGGCTGTATACGCCTGACCGTGTGAGAGCGTTTCGAGAGAGAGAGAGAGAGCTGACTCTCCTCACTTTCGGCCGTACCGGGGCAAGTAAATTGTTTACATTCAGTTATGTCGCGTCTTCACATCAGATATTTGAACATAGAAAAGCAGGAAATGTTGAACAGCTATTTCCTCTCACTAGTATTTATGGACTCTGTTTCGATCTCTGATTGGGTCGTATGTGCATACTGTTGTGAAATCCTATATTGATACGAATAAACCACTTAATCCTTCTTTGTGTCCTTGGTGATAATCACTTATGACTAAAACTAATCTTCACAAGATCTTTCAACAAATAATCTTTTTTCCATTATATTATTCGTTATATACTACTTACTGGTTTTATTTGTATTTGTTGATCAAGTTGACGTATTTCTTGAAAATGAGGTGAATAGTAATTATCTCTGTTAAGATCCGGTAATCGTGTTCCATTTCTTATATGATATGTAACAACTTTTATCCCTGTTAAATGTGTATGTAATTGTGATGCAAAAACATATATTCCATTCGGTTTCGGTAAAGCCTAAATAAGTATTATGAAAGAAAACAATATAATTACTAGTTCAATTTCATGTTTTTAGAATTATCTTGTCTTTAAATCACAAATAAACGGAAAGATGAGACTAGAATTTATGGATGACCTTTCATCGACGCTGAAGTGACCTTGAGATTGACCACCTGACAACCAGGAACAAATGAGGGTTATAAATCAGTTTAAGTAATTAAAATTATGATTCGCAGTTGATGGTTAAGGCAAGGAATTCAATTTAGGGTTTTGGTCGCTAACTGACAACAGCTATAATGCCAAAACTCTATTTAACCAAATGGCTGAATGAATTTCGCGCCAAAATCCGAGATCTATTACCTTATACCTGATTGGTTCGTCCATAAATTATAGTCTCGCCGACGGAAATCGTCAAACTCTAATCACTGTATATTGTTTCAGTGGTTAAATGTTACTGCTATACATTATACAGATCAATAGTTTTTAGTTCATCATTGGAGGTAGTCTAAGATAAGTGATTTTAATTGTAATACAACTAGAACAGTATCGAATTTCGGGTCGGATTGGATAAAATGTTTCTCGGCGCTTTCAGGGCCCTTCTGGCTTTTTTTCGTGGGATACTGTTGGGGATGTTAGATCCCCAGAACTCACTTGGTAATTACAGTAATTTTGTTTTCGCGCCAAAAGCGCTCTTTTCAGCTTCATGTCGTATTTCCCACTTGGAAGAATCTTTAACACAATTGGTCCGTTGTATATTTTAATATGCTATTTTGTAACGCTTCCCAAGGACAGTCTTATGCTGTATATATACGTTTGATTTGTGTCTGTTGTTATCGTTCGTGGTTCTGGCTTTTTGCGGAATATGCTTCCCCGTTCGGACTTCTACTTCTCTCTCTAATCAGTGGAGCTGGGACGCATCGGAATAGCTAGTTTATTGGTCTTTTGTCACAAGTCTTTGTTCTGTTCGTAGACTAAGTGAACTCGTAATCGCTTCGAACATAGCGGATATTCTGGGTCTTCCCAAAAGTTTGCCGTTAAAACTAAAAATATATGAAATATGTATGCACTAATTCTTGTTAAATATCTCCAACTGTAAAATCTTAAATTTGAATCTTATTGAATGTTTCATGGTATGTAAAAGGTTTCATTTTCAAGAATGGCCCAAGTCTAATCTAATATATATTAGCACAGTAAAGTTTTTTTGGAAATTAATTCAATTTGAAGATGGACTGACTACAGGGAACAACAGTTACAACTCATTACTTTCGTACTATTGAATTAAAGCTAAATACTTGATAATTCGACTTCAGTCTATTGATAATACAAGTTGATATTCATTTGATATTTACATTGATTCACAACTGTTCACTACTTAAAGAATCTCAAATCACAAATAAACAACTGTTCAGTTCCCGCATAGTTTCCTACAATGATATCTCGACTACTATCAGTTTAACAATTTAATTCAAAAGTTCGAATGTATGTATGTAGAATGTAAATATGTAGATCTCTGTAAGGAAGTATAAATAGACAATTACCCTGTAAAGATCAGTATATGAATTTTGTTTTATAATTAGGAACTATTGATAAAGAATAGAAATTTAATTAATATCCTAAAAGTACAATAACATTCAGTAAGGGCGTCCACTTTATCCGAAAACACTACATTGGACAAAGCGAACACCCTCTTCATCTTCGCCTGCATGAACATCAATTAGCAGTCGCACACCATGACATATCAATGCACATGGACAATTGAGGATACACATTCGACTGGAAAAATGTGGAAATCTTGGATAGAGGAAATGCCTAAGACACCAGAGAATTTTTAGCTTGGCATTCAGGTCAATCAGCAATTAACAAACACATTGAAATCGATCCAATTTATCAGACAATATGGAAAATTATGTACAAACATAGGAACAAAAATCAAACCAAAGGGAGATAGAACCAAAATAAAGAAGTAAACAATGACATGCTTAAGATCAAAAAGATCCAATCAACATCGAGGTGTACAAGACAAACTATGAACCACGTGTAGAGAAATTCGAACACTTCACTTCTAACTGAAGTTTGTGTTGATAATGTCGTTCAGAGTAACGATGAAATCTCCACGACCAAACCATCCAGTTCAGAGAAAAAAACTCCACGAAAAAATAATTATTATTAAATATTATACATCTTACTATATCAGTACATTGAGAATCACAATATCCAGCAAGAATAAATTTTGACTGGTTATATGGAATGAAATTGTTCGGTGTGTAGACTAATCCAAGTTCCATTATGCCAACATCATACTTTCTTAACTGATTGGTTATGTATAAACGAAATCCGCTATTATCTATGATACCTAAAAATAAAGAGACAATATAAAACTGTTGTCTGAATGCTAATATAACAGTTAATTAATCAAAGTTTAAATTACTTACTCCTGTTACCCCTCATGAAGGAGAATAGGTCAGTCATCAGCATCCTTTATCCAACTCTATACTCGACAATCCTTTCCACTTCTTTCCAACTACTATTCATCCTTTTCATAACTACTTCCAATTCTGGACTCATTGTGTTTTATTTGGTCTTCTACTACTCCGTTTCCGTCCACGATTCCAGGTAGTAAACGCTTGCGTCGTGATGTAGTTTAGTGATTTCCGTAATGAATGTCCTATCCACCAACTTCATAGTCTCTTCCTAATTTCTTCCTCATCTAAAACTTGGTTTGTTATCTTCCACAGTAGGCTGATGCCGATGGTTTCAGGTCAACAAGGGACATTGAGTATCTCGAGTGGACAACTATTTATAAATACTTGTATCTTTTTGTTGATGGCTTTAGTATTTCTTCAGATTTTAAATAAGTGCTCATAAATTTCTGGTGAAAATTCGAAATATGATGATGTATAGAGGCCTATGCTCCTTTACGAGGGGTAACAGGTGTAAGTATTTAAATAAGTAATGGCTTATACATTATTCGGAGTTAATAAAACTTTCCTATAATTAGTTCTTAAAACATTTTACTGTTGATGAATATGGCGAAATTAAAAAAGAATAGGAACAAATGTAACCGGTTCTTAAAGGAACATTTAAAAAGTGATAAGTATGTCAAATAGAATGAGAACTTGAAAAGAAAACAAAACCATTTGAAACATAATTTGTAATTTTTTCAAGGTAAGCCTAATTTCTAATTCTAACCATTTTTGCATTTATCGGAGATATAACTAACAATGTACAACTGGATAGATTGATAAGAGCAATGAAGAGAGCATTTTATGTAGCTACTCTCTGTCTTAAATGTTTTAAGCGACTTACGGTGGTTCCTCAACTAGACGAGATGTTATCTGGTTTTGTCACAACCATTTGTATTTACGATTTTAGCTGCTCATTCTGGAGAACATACATCGGTCGAACAACCAGATAACTAAGCCAACTATTTAGTGAGCACTTTACTTCATGGTTGGGTAAGGGATTGACAATGTCAATACACAGTTAGTTGTGCAGTGATTTTGAAATACTCAAATGCAGTTTAATAATTCACTTCAGTTTATGACGAAAATTGTCAACTTCAATCGACAAGTCAAAATTTCGCAGTGGTTGTTAGAATTATAGAAAGTGAGGGGAAACTTCATTATTATAAACGTTATTTGAATGGTTCAGATTAATTTTGACAGAATTACAGACTAATAAAAAATGAGAGAATACGATTTATACAAAATAAGTTGCAGTTTACAAGATTATTCACATTGTATGCTTCACATATATTTTAGTCCATGGACATAAATAACACAGACATTAGCACCGTTGGATGCCGTACTGCTCAGTGGTCTACAGGTTAAGTGTTCGCTCGCTAACCTCAAGGTCCTGGGTTCGAATTTCACGAGCGGGATCGTGGATGCGCACTGCGCAAGAGTCCCATAACAGGACGAAATGACCGTTCAGTTCTTCCAGGTTTTCAATGGTGGTCTAACATCAATTGATTCACTATCTCAATCAAAACCTTAATAATCTTCACAACCCCATACTGATAACACAGTTATTACACTAAACAGAGCATAAATCAGCGAACGAAAATCAAATATAACCATTATACCACATATTTGATGAAGTATGTTTTTACCATGTTTCCTTAAAACAAATCATATTTATCTTATTTCTGAGCCGATTGAGGTTCACTAATTATTATTTTGTCCACCTCTAACATTGTTCATTATTATTTAATTCATCGTGAACATTCTGACTCAAATTGATATTTAATATCAAAGAACTGGTCAAAATCTTGATGGAGTTTTGTTCTCTAAGCTGGATGGTTTGGTCGTAGAGCTTCCGTCGTTATTCTGCTTAGCATCATCAGCATAAAATTCACTTCTACCTGAAGTTTATGCTGATAATCTCGATCAGACGAACGATGAAATCTCCACGACCAAACCATCCAGCTCAAAGAACAAAACTCCATCAAAATCATCCACCTGAGCTACAAATCTTCTCCACCATCTCATGGTCACAATCTGTTGCTTAACTTACCCATATTACTCAATCAATTTTAAGTCAATTGAAATTCAGATTATTGATTAATTGAACTCACCTGATATAATTTTAGGATTATTATAATGTATCTCGATTACTGCATATTCTTTGCCACGTAAACCCCCGATAGGAATCCCAGCTTCTTCTGGAAAAGTTAATCCCTAGTAACGTTTTGTAATCATTATTAATTTATACTTTAAAAGAAGAATGACTTATTTTAACAAAATAAGAATGTAAACAATATTTAGTATATAAGGTTTTATGGATGAGGTGCCGATACACTAATGGACTTGTTTACCATTTGGATAGACTAACGGTAGACAGAAAGATGTAAAAAGTCTACGGAAACTTATAGTTAATGAATAAGATACTTTACTTAACGACCAGCTGTGGAAAGTGTATGTACATTTAATGATCTAATAAGCTTTCAGTTAGGATATAGTTGGTGTTCAGTTTGCTTTGTATTGATACAACAGTTAGTGTACCTTACCTAATCACAATAGAGTGATAATTTTACAAACCTGATAAATACAAGTTCTGGGTATGTTAAAACATAATTAGAGACCAACTTATTACAATTAAACGAACATGGTTATCATTATTAAGGTTTAACTTGATAATGTTAAATAACCAGAGAGGGGTTTTTGTGGATATTTTATTAATTTAGTAGTTGAATCCATGAGTCAATTGAAGCTAGATCACCATGGAAAACATGGAAGAACTGGACGGCCGTTTCATTCCAGCAGTGCGCACCCACGATCCCGCATTGCAAGATTAAAACCCAGGATCTGTCAGTCTCACACGAGAGCGCTTAACCTCCAGACCACTGAGCTGGACAGTATCCAGTGGTGTTGATGTTTAACTTCAACTAATCCACTAAATTGAGCGACGCATCCATGACTGTCATCAGTGAGTTACTCTTTCACAACTGATCCGGTTGAACTCCATTGGGTAGATTGTCACTAATAAAAATAATTTATTTGTAATATCCCAATAAGTGTTAGCCACTTCTTCAGTACAAAGGGAAAAATATTTAGTACAATCAACTAAAAAGTAGGTTTGACAAAGTCAATGTCATACCACTTCGGTCAAAGTGATTTATATGAGACATGCTTGTGTATTTGTGTGTGTTAATGAGTGAAAAATGTGACATATGTAATGTGAAAGGATCAAGTTGCATTTGTATATAAATGAACAGTAGTGATGTACATAACTGTTGTATTACTAACCGATTGCAATGCAATCTTTTTGGATCCATGCTGGAATTTTAAACAGAAGATATCGAGTAGCCAATAAACAATCGTAGTATTGAAAATTAGTGCTGAACTGAAAGTAGATTTTATCCTGTACTATTTATCAAAGCATTGTTTCCTTTAATTTTTGGCTATTATGCATTGATTCAATAAATTATAATTATGTTCAGTGAGTTAGTTACTAACGTATTACTCATTTACATATTCCATCAAAGTGAACTTACTGTTGATCCCATTGCCCAAGCTGCTATTACTTCTCTACATTCTTTCAAATCTTCTGGTTTTGTTTCTGAATTACATGGTGCATCATAGTAACGTTTAATATGTCCAGGACAACGAAAAATTTCCATATGATGAATAAGTCCTTGACTTGCTTCTGGTATGTCATTTTCATACTTGATTTATAAAAGAAAAATTGAGGTTTTGTTATTGAAAACTAAAGATAATTGATATTTTTAGGAGTAAAAAACGAATGTTCATTTTTGGGTTATGGGGATAGTTGAATCATGAGCCAATCAATGTCAGATTAGTATTAAAATCCTGTGAGCACTGGATGGCCATTTCGTTTTAGTATGTGACTCTTCAATGTTAGCTTAACAGTGATCAGCCCATGATGTTAATAAAATTCCACAATCTCCACAACTTCGAAATGAAAATTAAGATAAGCTCATTAATAATGAGCTTTGAAAGGCAATTCTCGAAGTTCGAGTGAGAAGCCGTGACCAGTGGAGTAAACTGTGTGTTGCGTAAGATAGTTACCCACTGAACACAATGGAAGATGGTCGCGCAATACCGTGGATTGGTTATGGTAAGACACTTTGTTCCCAGACATGCGGATTAGAGATTAAGCGTTCTCACGAGACTAAAGGTCCTGGGTTTGAATCCCGCATGTGGGATCATGGATGCGCATAGCTCGAAAGCTCTATACTAGAACGAAATAAGAGCCCAGTGCTTTCAGGTTTCACTGGTGCTCTCACATTGGTCAGTCCATGATTTAAAGAATGATTGGTTAATATTCATCTAAATGACCCGTTATGACATCATTGCTTATTGTGTTAGCCTAGTTAAACTAATTTCTTTAATATATGACCAATTAATATGGATTTCTCAATATTTTGTGGTATTTTGCTTGGCTTTTGTCAACTTTGATAGATATTTATTAAATTTCTGAACGCGACCAACTTGAAGATAAGTTTTACTATTTACTCTCATCCCTTAATTAAGACCTGTTGTTCTGTGAACTTGATAGCCGTCTTAGTGAATTTTAGGACATCGGAACAATGAGTAACCTTCAGTTGTTCAAAAAATAAATTTCTTTCCAGAACTTATTCACCAAGTGATTTATTGGTCTTTTATTGTATTTCACACATAATTTCGAATGTGGACACTAGTATAAATTTTAAAATCACACTAAAATAGTAATTTAGTGTTCTCTGAATGATACTTAGTGCTTGCGGAATACGATGATATTTCTTTTGTAGTCTATCTATTCTAATCTCAAGTGGCAGCTAATTGGTTATGATTTAGAATTTCAGTTACAATGATTGTAGATCTATCCTTGATCTATCTATTTCAATCAAACAATAACAATGCTCATCAGATAAAATGTATATATGCATGTAAGGTGAGTGTATGAACCGGTATTAACCATCCAAGTGATTTATTATCAATCCATATGTATTTTCTGGTTGAAAAATAAAAGGTATTTAAATGATCTTAACAATCGTTCTTAAAATAAATTTACCCTGACTATGTGCTGTAGTTCTGAGAAATAGGGCAATTCAATAGTTTTGCACCAGTACGTTGTTTCCACTGCAGGTATTTCAACCTAAATTAAAAAGTTTAAATGATAATTAAAGTCAAACATAGGCATTCTAAGTTAAATGATAACGAACATCTATCTATCAGTAGAGTCTAGGATCCTCATCTTGTCTGAATAGTCTGCATTTCAATGTTGATATTCATAAACGTTGTCCACTAAGCCACTCAGACACATTATCTACCAAATTGACCAATGGGAATGATACATGATATATTAAGTTCCGAAATCAGCTGTATAGGTTAGTTATATTGTGGTATGCGCACCATTTTTTACTCATAATTCCGAATGCATTGAAACTCTACTGCTACATTTTGATGGGAAAAAATTCCACTTCCGAGATCACAAATAAAATCAATCAATGATTTCAGTATCATATCGACATTGTTTGATGAAACGCCTCCGAATTCCCCGGTACGGCCGAGAGTGGGTAGAGTCTGCTCTCCTTCTCGAAATGGTCTCACTTGGCCACGCGTATATAGCCTCTGTCAGGGAAGCCCTACTCACTGCCTTCTCGTGGCGGGGGTGTTGTTTACGAAAATGAGAAGACGAAAAGCGAATGTCCGGCGCTTTAACCGGATTCCAGACCGATGGTGCACATGGGCTCCAGGATCCTGAAAGGACAAATGACGTATGAACCAATCGTTGGTCACCGGCTACCATGGGAATTCATCTCCTTAAGTTGCTCCACTGCCTTGTGGACCAGACCTTCAGGTCGAAGGCTCTGGGTGTGGCCCCCTAAGAAAACCACCTGGTTCGGTTTGGGCACCCGGACAGTATCACAGCCCTCACACATATCGAGTGAGATTTGTGTGGCGCATATGTATTTGGTGCCTGCTTGTACCAATATCTATGTGTTAAAATAAAATAAATAAAAACGACTGAGCAAATATGAAAGTTACTTTATCTATTAGCTGGAAATATGTGTTTTCAAATAGCTTACATTGATGCTCAAAAAATTCCTTAACCTCATCAACTGACATTTTTTCAATGATTTTCTATTGTTATTCAATTAATTCCAATATAACTTTCATAATTGATACCTCCAAATAGTCTTACATTAGAATGATCAGAAATGTATTACTTATTCGAATATAAGTAGTAAATGACATTGATAAAGTATAATGAATCATGTAAATATACTCACTTTATGAACATGAATTGAGAATATTTTAATATCTTCAGTTATTTTCAAATCAGTGTATAATGACCCTTTAATTAATTGTAATAAAATCTTCTTGTGTGGAATACGTCTCATTTCTAAATTGTTCAATGAAATCATTGAAGCCAATCCCATTCGATGTAACCACATTTGATAAATTACATCATGTCTATTGAAATGATCATATATACTATGGAATAAGAATAGATGAGTTGTTTGATTCTGAGTGGAAATAAAAAGTAAACATTGGATAGATTGATTAACAATTGTAATAACTGAACGACTCATTTATCCAATACATAACTGAGTAACTATATTTAGAAGTTAAAGTTTACCCTGAGTATAATCTTGTGAACTATTCTCAGTCACGGTACCAATGGAATAAAAGGACAGGTATTTGAAAGATATTACAAGTTAACAGACTTTACTATGTTGACAAAATTTCCAGTTGGAAATCCTCATTTCTTACCATGAAAGTCTTTAGTAGCCCTGAAATATCTGACTCCAATTGGATCGTTTGTGATTATTATCGAAATTTTCATGTTGCCAATCCTCGCATATAATTATTGACTAGACTCACGTTAGTGAATAACGTAATTAATTAAGTCAAAAACGATAATGATGTTTGAATGCGTGTATTTCGTACAATCGTTTATGTGAGCAGACAATCAGGGAGATGGAGCTAATGAAGCGAAGAGGGGAGAGAGCAGCGTTACTAAATGACGAGCAATGGAGAAAGCGAGCGATGCGACTCGGCTAAATCAAGCCTGAATCGATATTTATTATCAGACAATAATAAGTTACAGACATGTTTTGAGTACGATAATGAATGGACACAAATCCTTACATAAAAAACACTCAAGGTTGATAAGCGAATAATCAACAAGGTCAAAATGTGACTCAAGAAGAATGAATAAATTGTCTTGTTCAGAAGATGGAATAAACTGTGTGGGCATGAAATAGCATCCGATACTACCAATCTAATGTCTTCAGAGAATACGGACACATTAAATATTACATCGTCATAGATTACATCAAGAGGTAAAAGCAGAACCGGATTACAACACATTCTGTTGAACTCTTAAACTCAAAGACAGACTCGCACCTTCCTATTGACCAAATGGTCATATTCACTGAATTCTGCTGAATACCTTCAGTCCAGTCATAAATTACACAGTACTTCAACAGTTGTCATATGCTCCTCAGTTCATACTAACATTTTATATCCTAATTCCTAAGCGCTGATAAATTCATTCACAAACTCAACACCACTGTTACAAATCAAGCATCATTACGTCGATAGCATGCCTCACATCATCAAATCGAACCATCTAGTCATAACCTAGTACAGAACATTATCACTCAAAATGTCTAATTCATTGATGAATAGGATTCTACAGTTGAGTTCGACAAACACACCATTCATCATCATCATCATCAACATCATCATCAGTACTAAAAATTTCAATCACCAGTTATAATCAAAACAAACTCACTCCACCATCAACATTCGACTTGTATTGATTCACTTCAAAAATTAGTCGAGCTCACCAACACCATTTCCACACCACCACATCTCCAGTCTCCGTTTCATCCACACACGCACACACACACACACACACTCAATATATCACTTCCTGACTATTCTCATTCTATGTGAGATGTTGATTTCCTCCAAACAATACACACAGTTTCTGTATTGTGGTACAGTTGTGTTGTCATATTGTGGCTGAATTCACTTCCGACATAACAGAAATCTTTGTCGTTCTCATATAAATCACATCAATACGAAGTCTGATAGAATGTAACATCATTCAGCTGTTTACATGAGGTGTACTTGTACTTTACATGTTTATCGGTCTGATTGTAATTGTATGTCAATAGATTATGAATTCTCCTTTGTCTATCTATGAAAAATATTATTATTCTGATAAATATTTTTCATTGGAATAAACAAAGTTTTCCCCAAATGTTGAATAGTTTTCAAAGTTATTTATGTATATCAAAATATATTATCTTCCATGCATATTCGTTTATGTCTATATCAGATGGAGCTACGAAAATAATCAGCTAGATTTATGCTTAACCATAGTAGCCTCAAATAAAAGAAACATACCTGAGAGGCTTGGTTGATTATCTGAGCTACCTGTTTCTATTTCAACAATTTTTCTGTTTCATTATTTGTTTTAAAAGATCATTATGTCAGTGTATCGTATAACCTATTCAGGTGCATTTGTGAAAAGTTTACAACCTTTCGCTGTAAAACTTACAAAAAATGTATATGATTGAAATCACGAGTCAATTGAAGCTAGACCACCATGGAAAACCTGGAAGAAATAGAGGTAGCCGTGACCAGTGGAGCTAATCCGTATCAAGTAGAAACAGGTGTCTTCCTCATTACAATAGAAGATGGTCGTGCAATTTCGTGGATTGGTTGAGGTTAGGCCTTAACACCATTGGATGCCGACTCAGTGGTTTAGAGGTTAAGCGCCTGGCGCGAGACTCACAGGTCCTGAGTCCAAACGTCGCGGGGTGCGGGATCGTGGATGTGCACTGCTGAGGAGTCCCATACTAGGATGAAACGTCAGTCCAGTTCTTCCAGGTTTTCCATGGTGGTCTAGCTTCAACTGACTCATGATTTCAATGAAAAACTTAACAATCTTCACAACCTCTAAACATAAAAAAGTATCATCAGAGACATCGTGGTTGTTTACATTATTCATCGATAAGAATGACAATTATTCGCTTTCTGAACTGTTAACATCTAATTGGCCGTCCAGTTCTTCCAAGTTTTCCATGGTGGTCTAACATCGATTGACTCATGATCTCAACTATTGAAATTACTATAATATCCACAAAACGTCTTCTAATATTAATCAACATATGCTCACTAGTGACTGGTTTCAAGAGGTAATTCCTGGAATTCTAGTGAGAATCAGTGACTAGTAGAGTTCAAACAGGTTTGTTGTGAGATAGTAACTCACTGATGATAATGGTGAATTTGTAGCTCAATTTCGTGAACTGCTTGAAGTTGGATGCCGAATGGCTAAGTAGTCTAGAGGTTAGGCACTGGTGCACGATACCGATAGGTCCTAGGTTTTAATCTCTCGATGCGGGATCATGGTTGCGCACTGCTGACGAGTCCCACAATAGGATAAAATGGTTTTCCAGTGCTTTCAGGTTTTCCATGGTGGTTTAGCTTCAATTGAGTCATGATCTCAACTACTGAAATTCTATATTGTACCGAGAATATAATATTGAATCAAACCACTATTATTAATAATAATGATAATAATAATAACAACAATAATATTAATAAGAAGAAGACGAAGTAGAGGAAGACGAGGAAGAAGGAGAAGAAGAAGGACTTGCAAGACTAAAGTGTCAATAATATTGACTAATATACAGTAAACAACTAATTTATAAAAGAAGAAATACTCACATTGATACTGTAACCATTTTCACGACAGGAAGTTGCCATTCTTCCAAAATTAAAGCAAATTAATTGTTCATCATTATTGTTATTATTTAGTTTTCGTAAGTTCGGTAATTCAACTGTATACAATTTACTTTCTATAGAATCTCTAATATGTAACATTGAATTTTCATCAGTATATGCCTCCTATATTGGGGAAGAAAGTAATGGATCAAGTTTACATGAATTAGTATCAGAAGGGGTTTGGTGGAGATTGTAGTAATTTCAACAGTTGAGATCGTGAGTTGGTTAAGCGCCTGGCGCGAAATTGATAGGTCCTGGGTTTGAATCCCGCGAGGCGGGATCGTGGATGCGCACTGCTGAAGAGTCCCACAATAAGACGAAACGGCCGTCCAGTGCCTACAGGTTTTCCATGGTTGTCTAGCTTCAACTGACTCACGATCTCAACTGTTGAAATTTACATGAATTATAAATTGAATTTAATGTATCAAAAAAACATTCAAATAGGAAGTTTTCTCCTGTTGACTAATAATAAATCTTTATGAAGGCATGGCAACTATCTGATAATCAATTTTGATTATGGTTAAAATTTCGGTTAAACCCTTTTATTAATTTACTTAACAGACAATGGTATTCGGACAGGAACAATTCGCGTATTTCTTTATACAGTTATGATCATTAGGGTACATGACAGACTCTAGCTCAAATGTTGATCGCCTGACTATCACTCGATGATTTATCCTCCTCCCAATATATATATATATATATACTCAAATCCTATTATTAGCCGTAACTTAGCCTTGCTGTGCCCTTATGTAATTTGACTATAAATTTGCCTATGTAATTGCTCGCATATACTTACTCAGCACTCTGCTTCAAATTCGCTTGATGTGCTTATTGCTTTATGATCTGTGCTATCCGATAATAAACTAACTGTATTACCTGCTTCTCATTGCCTTTTGATTCCAAACAGTGTTGAGATTTATATTATAATGGTTATCAAGGTGATTGATTAATGAAGCAAAACCACTTGTCTAACAGATGACATAATCATGAACAAATACATTACATAATAATTACAATATATAGTAAATAGAGAAATTTGTAATGTTCAAAAACAAAGAATATTTGAGTGAAAACTTGTTTATCTTCAATAACTTCATCAATCAAACTAGACAGTTATAAGGTTATAATTATTGTGTTATTTTACGAAGGGATGATAGTGAATTGAATATGCCTATACGTTAGAATCTGGAATCTATTACGGTAGAGATACTTTAAAATTTGTCATTTATAAAAAGATCAAAATGATTCGCTGTAACGTTTCGAGTTATAGTCAGTATAATAATTATAGTAATAATAATGTCATGTGAATATCATATATAATAAGAGAGGTACTGTTAAGGTAGTCATCATTTTGAACTTTTGATAATAACATCATCATTATGAAGTTATACATGTAGATTGAAGAACGTATGCAACTAAAAATAACTGTCTGTCAGCCAATATCAAAGTCACAATCTTCCATACAAACGTCAAGACAGTTCCGTTGTATGTAGCTAAAGCATGGAGAACTACTAAGGCCATCAACAAAAAGATACGAGTATTTATAAATAGTTGTCCACTCGAGATACTCAATGTCCCTTGTTGACCTGAAACCATCAGCAACAGCCTACTGTGGAAGATAACAAACCAAGTTTTAGATGAGGAAGAAATTAGGAAGAGACTATGAAGTTGGTGGATAGGACATACATTACGGAAATCACTAAACTACATCACGACGCAAGCGCTTACTACCTGGAATCGTAAAGGGAGACGGAAAAGAGGGAAGTTGAAGAATACACACTGGGTAGATAATTGGAAGCAAACATGAGAAGGATGAATAGTAACTAAAAACAAGTGGAGAAAATTGTCTAGGACAGAATTGGATAAAGAATGCTGATGACTGACCTATACTCCTCCATGAAGTGTAACAGGAGTAATTAAGTAAATAAAGTGTAACTATAAGCATGACTATAAGCATGCTGACTGGGACCTCCTGCATTGATTGATTAAACTTTCAGACTGGGACAACTTTTTTTCATGTAATGGTCTCATGGATGCTATCGACGAATTCTATCTGATCATTAACTCTTGTTTAGACTCCAGTGTACCTCTTAAAACGTATAGGTTTAGTAAACCTTACGAATTATATATACCAGCTAAATATCGTAATAAACTAAAACGCCTACAGAATCGTTATTTAAGTCAAACGACTTCACAGCAGTTGCACAAATAACAATAATTTTTAATCAAATTAAAGAGGAACATAGGTTAAAAGCCATTAATGAGGAGCTGTTAGCCCTTAATACTAACTCGAAAGTACAAAACTTAACCCTCCTTTTCAATAAACGCACTGAAGCAACTCTAAATGTTGATATACCGTGCATCCAGCATAATAGCACTTTTATATACGACTCTAAAACCATGGCCGACCTTTTCAGTAGTATATTCGCGAATAGTGTAGAAAACATAAGTAGCTATGCTTCAAGAGTTATGTGCGTGACTAGCAACTCAATAAAATCTATCTCCTTCACATGCATGAAAATTAATAAGGCTATAAATACGCTTAAGCTTTCTAAAGGTCATGGAGTAGACGGGATTTCATCATTTCTCTACAAATATGGTGGTCCAGATATTCCACTTCTTCTTCTAAAGCTGTTTACTCTCTCTATGGAAACCGGTTCTTACCCTTATTGTTGGGAAACCGCGTACATCATACCACGTTACAAATCTGGAGATAAGACTGACATGAACAATTACCGGCCAATAAATATTACTCCAGTTATTTTTAGGATTATGGAAAAAATTATCAGTGATGAACTTTCCAACTATTTACTTGCTGGAAAATTTATCCATGATACAAGGCAGCCCAGTGGTGTTTAAAATGGCAACTGGAGCTTAATACGGCTAAATGTGGATGGATATGCTTCGACAATACATCACTCAACCTAGACATTACCATAAATGGAGAAGTGTTACCTAGGTTACATACAGTAGTGGACTTAGGACTTAGATATTCCCAAGACCTGTCGTTTACAGAACATATATTAAAACAGACCTCTAAGTCTCAACGTCTAATAGGTTACATAACTCGAAATCTTTACAACACTGAGTCACGTATTCTAATGTACAAAGTTTGTGCTCGACCTCTTCTGGAATACTGCACGTTTATTCTTAGCAGTGCGCTCATAAAGGATAAATTAAGGCTGGAATCAGTACAGAGACGATTTACACTTCGTATTCTTGGAGCTGATTGTACCTTAACTTATAATTCTAGATGTAATAAACTTGGGCTAGACCCTTTATGGAGGAGGAGACTCAAACTAAATCTTATCTTTTTTTTCAAACTACTTCATAAACTATCGTTTACATCTGATCACGCGATTCAATATGCAGAAACCTCTCATTATGACATCCGTAATTCCTTGGCACTAGTGAAACAAACTCATTCTAAATCATCTCTTTACATGAATTACTTCACCTGTAAATTTTATAGACTCTGGAATAACCTACCACAATCTATCCGCAAGATAAAATCCCTCCCATTATTTGTTCGCTGCATCGATGCATACTGCTCCTCTGAAAATGCATTGAATGGTCTAGCGCCTTTAAGTGTATCTCATTCCACAAGTGATATTTTAGGAACCTTAAATGTTTAGCCATCTTTATTAGTGAATTCCCTTAGTAAAACCACCCACTTGCTGTCAATATGTCAACACCGCCCCTAGCAACTTTAACTATTTTGAATAACTGTGTCACATGACACACATGACACACGCATTTAGGTAGACCGGATTGATATATTTTGGTAATTACTTTTTTGTTGTTCCGTGCTCTCTGTTTTCGTTTTAACTTCTCTAGTTGTAGATAATTATCATTATTTCGATCTGGCACACGAATTGATCTTAATTACTCCGTTAATAAATCAACAGACTGTCCATTTAGGAAATATTAAAAATTCCCCGCTGATGCATAGGATCGCTGTAATATATACTACTTAAACAACTACTGAACTAGTATACTTAAAACTTTCTTTTATCACATGTTTGTTCTGCACATCTAATGTTATTATTTATATCAAATTGATCATGCCTGTAAACTGGCGTGAATTCTGTAATTATTATTTTTTTTTCAGAATAAATTATTACTTACTTATAAAACTCGATGATGAAGTTATTGAGAACAATTGCTTGCTCAAATACTCTTTTCTTTTAAGGTTTTTTTAAACTGCTGAAATTTGAAATAAACTATTCCTCTAATTTATACTCATTGAGGAACTACTATACAATTGAATGATTATTTAAGGCTATTTTGACTCGAAATTCACTCATTCATTTGGCTAAGTAGAGTCTTGGCATTATAGTTGATGTCAGTTCATAATGAAAACCCTAAATCTATTTTTTAAGCCTAATCATCAACTGTAAATCATAATCCCTATTCTTCAAACTGTTTTATAACCCTCATTTAGCCCTAGTATGTAGGTGGACACTCTCAAGGTCAGTTTAATGTCATCCATAAATTATAGTCTTAGTAAAAAAATATTAAATGAATTTGAACAGAGGTTTCGTCGTACCTAGTACCCATCACCAATGCTTAACAACACTCATTGGCAAATTGATGCTCCTCGTATGATTAAACTGTAATCATATAATGTCATAGCCAGAGATTTTATCATCAAACTATTCTTGGTGTAAACGATTTTTTTACAGGGATGAGATTTGAACAGATTTATTAGATACCAAGTTATATGAGAAGAAACTTTCAAAGTATGTAATATATTTAGCTTCAATCTATCACTAGGCAATCTACTCTAAACGTCTTTAAGATAACATTTAAAGTTAATGATAAATTAGTTTAAAACAATTCTGAACAAATTATTTGTTTAGTTATTAGATGGAATTTTAAATAGAATTTGCATGTAGTATGTATCATGAACTAATCAAAACTAGATTTTGATGGAGTTTTGTTCTCTGAGCTGGATCGTTTGGTCGTGAAGCTTTCATCGTTCTTCTGAACGACATCGTCAGCACAAACTAAAGATAGAAGTAAAGTGTTCGAATTTCTCCATATGCGTTTCACAGCTTCTTCTGTACACCACGACCAAACCATCCAGCTCAAAGAACAATACTTCATCAAAATCATCCACCTGAGCTATAAATCTTCTCCACCATCTCATAATCAAAACTAGGGATAAAGTTGAAAACCTGAAAGCACTGGACAACTGTATCATCTTAGTCTAGTAGAGAGATAGTTATTAACACTGTGGTGTTGTCTAATTACATTCAAAGGTTGTTGTCATTCATAGTGACAGTATGTTTCACATGATTCAATATTGTGCCCGAATTGTATTACATTGAAAAGATCTATATAGATATATGTTACCTTTTTGTAAAATTCAATAAATAAATAGGATCTTAGATTATAGTTTGGATTATTTTAGTCATTCCTTTTTATTAAAACAATGAAGGTAGACAAAAACAATTTGAGGTTTTGAAAGAATAAAGTGATCGAATTTTAAATAGAATTGTGCTTGCAATGTTGTTTTCGTTGTGCCCCTATCGATGTAAAACATAATGATACCACCGATTAGAGAACATTAAATTATCGACCGGACCAAATCTAATACCGGAGAATTCCAAATGTTTCCATTCTCTCTTCTTCTTCTTCTTATTATTATAGTTCAAATTATAACAAACGATCTTCTAGTGCTTCCAGGTTTTCCATAGTGATCTGGCTTTACATTTAGTACAAGTTTAAAAATATTACTAATATGTCTAATCTAATTTTCACAAATGAATTCATGAGTCGATCTAAGCTAAATCATCATTGAAAACTTAGATACATAGGACCATCATTTCTTCCTAGTATGGTTCTCCTCAAAACTACATACACATCCATAATCCTATACTCAGGACTCGAACCCACGATCTGCGACCTCGCACTCGAACACTTAACGTCGAATACCCATTATACATATAAACTGCATGAAAATAAGATCCGATTACATTACATTGAAAAAAGACAACGCTTACCATATATAAATAACTATCTTTACGACTACTTGTTGTTTCATTCATATATAATGGAAAATATAAAAGATACATATCTAAATTGACTAATTCATCTGTTTTACCAAATCCAATACCGAAAAATTTCAAATGTTCCCATTCTCTATGATTATGAGTATTCAGATTATAACAAACATTAAATTGTAACCATTTGACTTCATTATTATCATAATTTACAGACCATTGAATATGATATTCATCATATTTATTTAATGGTAATGAATATTCCGTAGTAATACAATTGAGATTTGGAATAATAAACAATATTATAATGAATAATAGTAAATAGACAATAGACATTTTTAACGAAGAATAGATTAGCTGATGTTTGAGGTTGGTTTCTGGTTTCTTCTAAGAATTGTAAGAATTTTCATTGGCTTTTATAGAGTTGTTGTGTCCCGATGAGAATAATGAGTGGTAACATTTTGGGATCTATTTAAGGACCAATAGTGTGCGTGTATTTTTATCGTATAGTTGATAAGTAACTAAACTACTCATATTCATCTCTCTCTTATCAAAAGATTTATTTTAACCTATGAACTGTTATTATACGATTTTCCATTCTTGAATTATTCCCTATCTATTAATCACCACCTCCCACATTCACAGCCTCATTTGGCTAAGTCTTGTACAAATGTTATTTTCTATTTTATGCTACGTTGTGGTCTGTTTGATTGGTATATAAACAGAGTATGTTTGAAATAAATGATTCATATTGCAGAAGCTGAGACTGCTGTTCTTCACTTAACTGGCTGGGCTAGGTGGAAAGTAGGACCAATCAGGACTCTAGGCTGCTCGCACGTGTTTTACGCGTCCCTGGTCCGATCGGTAGTTCGCTGCTTCTGATTAGCGGCTTTCGGCCATAAGAAGAGTAATTTACTGGTTGAAATCCTGAGTCAATTGGAGCTAGACAGCCATGGAAAACCTGGAAGCACTGGACGGCCGTTTCGTCCTAGTACGGAACTCTTCAGCATTGCGCATCCAAGATCCTGCACCCCGTGAGATCCGAACCCAGGACCTATGAGTCTTGCGCCAGGCGCTTAACCAAGTAAACCCCTGAGCCGGCCGGCATCCAATGGTGTTAATGTCGTAGATGCACACTGCTGAGGAGTCCCATACTAGGACGAAACGGCTGTTCAGTGCTTCCAGGTTTTCTATGATCGTTTAGCTTCAATTGACTCGTGATTTCAATCAGTGAAATTTCTAAAGATCTCCACAAAACCCATTCTGATAAGAGTAATTTAGTTTAACCTTTAATGAGTCTAATTAGCATTCGAAAAGCTGTTTTCTTTTCTTTTCTCTTTTTTTGTAATCTAATCCTGAAAATGTTATATACACACACACGAACACACATAATTGTTTGATTGGTTATTTTAAATGATCCTATGAAGACTATATATATATGATCAGTTCAAACGGTTCAATTAATTGGGATGGATTAATATAAGGAGTTTGTTGGAGTTGATCTAAAGTTTGTGCTGATGATTTCAATCAGAAGAACGCGTCCTGGACTCCACTGCCAGCCACTATTCATCTTAGCCTGTAATGCTTCTGAATTAAGGCAATATTGAGGCAATACACACAGTATGCACATATGTCAATAACAGACTGATCAATCGCAGTCTTAAATCTCAATTGAAATATTCAAGTAAACAATACCAAGTGAATTTATAGTATCACTTAAATTGTATTAATTTCAATTTCACTTTAAATTATATACTGAACAATGAAGAATCAAGATGAAAGATTTGCTGAAAAGAAATATTCATTTGCTCTACATCGTTTTTTGATTGAGATCATGAACCGGTTGATGTCAGAACACCAATGAAAACCTGGGAGCACTGAGTAGCCGTTTCGCCCTATTGTGAGAATACTCAGCAGTGCGCATCCACGATCTCACTCACGGGATTCGGACCCAAGGCCTTCAGTCTCGCGCGCGAACGCCTAAGCTACTAGACCACAGAGCGGGCAACCAGTGGTGTTAGTGTCTAACATCAACCATTCCACGAAATGGATTAGCCCCACCGGTCACGGCTTCTCACTAGAACTCCGAGAATTCTCTCACGAAGCTAGTCGATAGTGAGCACATGTTAATTACCTGTGATCCAGTAGATTAGGCGTTAGCGCGCAAGACTGACGTCATGGGTTCGAATCCCGTGAGTGGGATCGTGGATGCGCACTGCTGAGGAGTGGTACAATAGGATGAAACGGTCGTCCAGTGTTTCCAGGTTTCTGATATCAATCGGTTCATGATCTCAATCAAAACTTAATAATCTCCACAATCCTGATACTGGTATAATTTATTTCACGAATCTATAAATATTTAGTTTATTTTAATATTATATCTTCTATGATTACATATAATATGGTGTATGCTACTGATGTCGACTTCATATGATATAATAAGATGTAATATCATAATAATATATATTATAAGATATAAGTAGTACGTATCATCAAACTAAAGTGAAATGCCTGATGGTAGAAACTTTAGAAAATCAAAGAGAAAAGAACGAGAACATATGATGTTTAGTATGGAAACGAAGAGACAACGAAGTCTGAGACAATTGATGACTGTTTTGAAAATCAAGCATTTACTGTTGTGTTCTCAGATTTTATCAAGATATTTTATAATTTTATATTCAAATAAAATTGGTTACCCCCCCCCCATACACACGCTTGTATGTATATTTATCAGAATAAGATTTATCATAGATAGACAAAGAAGAATTCATAATCTATTGACATACAATTACAATCAGACCGATAAACATGTAAAGTACAAGTACACCTCATGTAAACAACTGAATGATGTTACATTGATAAAGTTACTCAATTCTATCAGACTTCATATCGATGTGATTTATATGAGAACGACAAAGATTTCTGTTATGTCGGAAGTGAATTCAGCCACAATATGACAACACAACTGTACCACAATACAGAAACTGTGTGTATTGTTTGGAGGAAATCAACATCTCACATAGAATGAGAATAGTCAGGAAGTGATATATTGAGTGTGTGTGTGTGTGTGTGCGTGTGTGGATGAAACGGAGACTGGAGATGTGGTGGTGTGGAAATGGTGTTGGTGAGCTCGACTAATTTTTGAAGTGAATCAATACAAGTCGAATGTTGATGGTGGAGTGAGTTTGTTTTGATTATAACTGGTGATTGAAATTTTTAGTACTGATGATGATGTTGATGTTGATGATGATGATGATGATGATGATGAATGGTGTGTTTGTCGAACTCAACTGTAGAATCTTATTCATCAATGAATTGGACAGTTCGAGTGGGTAGTAGGTTTTGACCAGAAGGAATTATTTTGACGATGTGAGACATGTGTTTAAGGTAATATCGAGGCAATACTTACAGTATGCACACATGCCAATAGAAGACTGATCAATTACTGTCCTAAGTATCAATAGAAAGTTTTAAGTAAACAATACCAAGTGAATTTAGACTTCAACCCAATTTCACAAGCTACTGGCTATCGGGATCCAGTAACTAAGTGAATAATGCGATGGCATTTGAAGCGTACAGTACTGAGTTTGAGTCGCAGGGTGAACGTTAACACTGAGATGCAGGTACATCCAGCCGAAGAGTCGCAAATAAGACAAAACACATGTCCTGGATCCCACTACTAACCACTATCCATCTTTACTTGTAATAAATAGCTGATTTTAGTTTTTATAATAATATAGCATATATATATTATAATAATACTGACAACATACAAGATACAATGTCTTCATTTTCACCTAAACACATACAGAACAATTTCATTAAACCGGTTATTAAATTAATTATAAAATTGATTTTAGTTTTTCTTTTTTTTGTTGCCTATAACAACACACTGAAAAATTTGCATTCTTTGAAGAAGCAGAAGAAGAAAAAGAAAAAAGAAGAAAAAAAGAAAGAAAAACACGAGCTTATATATTTCCATTATGAATTATGATAAATGATTTCCCTATTTTTTAATATTTTTATTGTGTCCATTTTCTTTCAAAAGGTTACATGTTCATATGGTTAAGTTCAGGTTACATAATGAAAAGGGAAAGATTTTTTTTCATAAAAAACAACAACAACACAAAACTGAACTACATTTAAACAAAACAACATAGAAACCAATTCACTAGTAAGATGATCACTTGAACACATTGAATTGTCACGTTCATTCGAAATCATAGTAAGTGTAGTAAAGTAGTGACTAGTAAAGCAAAGATGTATGATCTTTCTTTTTTTATTTTTGAAATTTGGGTAACAAATAGACAGAAGCGCACGCACACACACACACACACACACGCAGAGAGAAACAATGAAGAAGAAGAAGAAGAAAGAGAAGAAGAATGTTAGTCGTCAAATCCTTATAAAATTGACATTGTTTCATTATTTTTATATTATCATGCATAGATTTGATAATGTAATGAGAACATTTACCTAGAATGGATATTTTGATATTGAAATGTAAACATAAAATGAATGTTGAAATATTAATTTATATTTCTTATATGATTGATTATAATTGTTCAGATCCCATGATGTATTATTAAACCATGTTTGATTACCAATATTATATTCATTATTGATTGTTGATGAAGTTACAGATGATGATGGAGCTGTTGATTTATGTCCTGATGATATAGTCGTTGATAAAGAGTCCACTGTTGATGATGACGATGATGATGATGATGATGATAATAGTTTAGTATCATTTTCATAACATGATACTCGGAAAAACAAATAATATAACTGACCAGGTTCATCATATTTTGTTTGTTGATATGTTAAATTTGTTGCCGCTTCAATATGTGCACTTAATAGTGTACGCTCACGTGTTTGATTTGTATTATTTTTAGCCCAATTCGGTGTTAAGTAAACAACTCCATCTTCTGTACGATGATGAACTGGTGTATTTGGTGCTTTGTCTAAAAGATGATAGTGACAATTCGATTGCTGAACCTGAATTGTTTATACAAAAATGTAAAAGAAAAATATAAATAAATACTAATAGATTTCATAAAATGGAATACATTTAAGTAGAAAGAGTGAGATTAAACGCTATAAACACATTTTTGGTACTTCGTCAATTGTTCAAGATTCTTCAGTGTTGACATTTTGTGCATGAGTAGAGTGTCATCCTACCAGTATTAGTGTATTGTGCACTACTTATGCGGATAGACACTAGTAGTACGTAGCTGGAATTGAGAGTAGGATGCTTACCCGTATTAAAGTGAAATAAGGAGAAGAGGAAGGAGAACGAAGAGCAATCCGAATAACAATAGGATGGGTAGAATGATGAAGTATGTAAAGGACAACTGGAGGAGGATATGCAAATGCTATATTTAATGCATAGTTTTCATATTTTACAAAGACACCGTTTGATTTTGCATA